AAAAAAAAAAAAAAAAAAAAAAAAGGCGGTGGATAACGGATGGGGTGGAATCTCAGCGGAGCTGAGAGGGCGGGGCGGAGGGAGAAAGCGCGTAGGCCCTGCCCCTCGCGGCGCTTCTCGGGAATAGCGTCACCCGCTCTATAAGAGAGCGTGTGGCGAAGGATTCGGCCTTTTACATCCGGGAAGCGTGGAGTTTAGGTGAAAATACTGTGTTGTGTTTCCTGCGCTAAAATACTTAAGACAGAACTTTTGGCCAAGTTTAAAATGCAGGAGATGCAACAGTCTTGTAGAAGTAGATCGACGTCAGCTTGGAAAACCTCTAGGTTCAAACTCCTGAGTGGACTTAAATGTTCATTGATTCGCGGGGCAGCCACATTCAGCCGGGGGCGCTGAGTCGGAAAACTAGCGCCCGTGGGCCGTGGGCCTTCCGGCAAAGGTTAAATGCAGCTCATGACTCCGGTTAAGGTCATTAGTTCTGCTGTTGGTGTCTGTCATGTGGCCGTCTTGAATCTACTCCGCCACTATTAAATCGTAACACCGCATCCTGATAACCCGCCAGTTTGATCCAGGTGGTGAGTAGTATCTGTAGTTGTCCTTGCTGGTCTTTTCTGGGATTATGAATCTCCATGTATCTTTGGGACCTGTCAGCTGTGGCAGTCTCCCTTCCTAGCCATGGAAGAGCATATTCTTGTTTATTGGCAAAGCTGTCACCATCTAATTGGTATCAGATTCTGACTTGCACAAGTAACATTCTTCACTTTAAAAATCTGGAGGGCACTGGGTTATTGGGCAGACATCTAACTACTGTTCAAATGTTTTTAGGAAGCTGAGCTAATTGTTCCAATGGATGATGGAAAACAACAAGGTACGTTCCTGTTTTATATATATATATATATATATATATATATTTATTTATTTCTGAATCTGAAACCCTTAGTGCTAAGGATATGGAAGGCCAAAATTGGCATATTTTGCTGGCATTTTGTAATTTAAAAGAGTAAATAGGCAACTGAATAGAAAGTAACTGAAGTAGCTGCTAAGACTCAGCACCATGAGGTAAGTACACAAATTAGAGTTTTATAAAGCTGGTTTTCTTCTCTTGCAGAAGTCAAGAAATCCAAAGCGATATGGGTGAAGTCTTACTAGCATCCTGAAGTACACTGCCAAATGTGATTTTAAATCTCAAGTATGGTATTTAAATGGAGAATAAATAAGTGCTTCCTTGCTATATCAATAAAATGCTCGATTTGTACAGATGTCAGTGTTCCCTGACTGAATGACTAATAAGTGCAAAGGTAACTACAAGTAGTGAACAGGCTACCTCCTGTTCCACTGTTGGGAGCTCGAGTGGAAGTAACATGAATTAGTATTGTTGTGTAAGGTGTTATTTGGGGAAAACGCTTATACATAAAAACCAGTTTACCCCTGAGGAAGAGAGCAGGGTCATTTAATACCACACAGAAGATTAAGGAAACTGTGCACGTTGAAAAGCTGTGCACTTTACACAGATGTGCACTGAACACGTGTATTTTTAAAACTCGCACTTAACATTTAACAAGAAAAAGAATTAAGCTATAATTAATGGATATTTTATGAACCAAGCATTCTACCTCAAGGTTGAGCAAACTGCAGGCCATCTGTTAACTATCTGTTCTTTAAGTTTGCCAGCCTCTGGTCTAGTTAAAAAGCCAATGTAAATGTTTGCATCAGCGCTGCAGTTCAATTACAAGGATGGCCTATGAGAAACTTTCAGGAAGATAAATTTTCTCACCTGCATTTACAGGTTTTTCCCAAGCCCTTGTGCATGTGTGCACCGTCTGTAGCTCTGTCATCTCTAAATGTAAATGCAAAGTTTTTCCTTTATCAAAGTCATGAGTGTTTAGAAAACGTTTTAATGCTATTCTACTTGAACTGCATTGCAGTTCTGCAGAGTAGTAAACTACAAAGCACTTTCAGGTTAGCACCAGTTTTTTTACATAGCTCAGAATTTACAAAAGGGATGCAATATGATACAGAAGGGAAAGGGATGGGGGTGAAGTCCCTCCATGGTGAGTTAGCCATTTAAGAGGATTACTTAAGCATTCTTAATCCTATAGTTTGCTTCACCATTTTTTACTACCTGGGATTTTGGGAAGGACTCAAGATAGCAGTCAAGTCACCTCTGATAAGGATTACTCAAGTATCCTGAGGGCTTAGCTTTTTATATTTGGGCAGATTTTGTGCTGCTACCAAGAATGCCCTGTAGGATACATAATAAGCAGCAATCCCTTACTCCTTTGGGAAACAGCCGGAGGGAAAACTTACCTTTAGACAGAAGAACCATGGGTTAGAGGGGTGGGAGGAGATGCTCTTGTCTGCATTGTCTGGAGTTTGGATTCAAAGCCTTTCAACAGCTGTCTCATCTTGGCCTGTGCCTGTTAACCCATTTGAAAACTAGAAATATTATAAAATCTTACCTTTTATAAATTGTCAGTGAGGTGCATAGCCACCTAGCACATAAGTGGTATATGGATTAAACATAACAGTTATTTTAGACTTTCCCAAACTGCAGACAGGGAAAACATTTTTAATAGTCTATTTTTATTAGATGGGACTGTATCAGGATAGTCTGCAGGTTTAAGTTAGTTACCAGAAGGTTGCAGTAGGTGGCACTCTTAAATCATGGTCTGGAAAACAGCATGATGCTAAGGAAAAAACATTTTTGTTTTACCAAGCTGTAAATTTGAAGTGATTAAAAGTAATCAAGCAGGTTGAATTAGATTGTGCATTAAACAATTTGAAGGCATTCTTTATTATGTTATCAGGAATGCTGAATTGTGCTAACAACATACAAGGTAGCTAGAATGTTTTTCTCTTTAGTTGCCATAGTGCTTGGTACAAAGGCTTCATTCAGGAATGTACTGTGACAATGATATTCCTTTCCAGTCTGTTTATAATAGAATTCCTTTATCTTTTTGGCCTTCAATTTTCTCACGAAAGGCCAGAAAGACGTGATCTGATTTTTTTTATCAGCCTAAAGAAAAAAATCTGAGCTTAAAAAATTACATGAACGGAAAACAATGCCACTCTTATTTTTTTGGGCGGGGGTACGCGGCCCTCTCACTGTTGTGGCCTCTCCCGTTGCGGAGCACAGGCTCCGGAAGTGCAGGCTCAGTGGCCATGGCTCACGGGCCCAGCCGCTCCGCGGCATGTGGGATCTTCCTGGACCGGGGCACGAACGCGTGTCCCCTGCATCGGCAGGCGGACTCCCAACCACTGCACCACCAGGGAAGCCCGCCACTTTACTCTTATAGTAAAGAGTATTTTTTTTTATGTCAAATGTAGGCTCTTTATATGAATATATACCATATTGATTCAGTTATAAAGGAGTTCTCAATCTAAATAAATGTAAAAACAGCCTGACTGCACAATCAATATACAATAATCTCTGGAGGATGCTGAGAAACAGGCAGAGACAAGACTCATGAGAATAATGAATTTAGTGTCCATTAAACTAATTTAGGTGGCAACAATGCTAAATAAGGATAATCATTACTACACTGAGGTGTCTGTAGCCAAAATGTTCACATCACAAATTCTCAAGCAGCAAAGGGGTGCACAGTTCTTAAGACAACACAAAACACAGAAACACAGATCTCCGTTCCCATTATTTGGGATCTCGGCTAAATGCCAATATTGGAAAGTTTCCAACAGATTCTTTAAATATTATTTTCTTGAGGTTTCCATGAAGGATTACAGTTTGGTGACACTTTTTATCCAAGGTATAAAGGCTGAGACTTTGGTATAAACACCAGGGGAATCCTTGACCCCACAGCCATATCCCCAGGAGGTCACCCCATATACAACCCAGCTCGCTCCTGGCCGTTCACACATGAGTGGTCCTCCGCTGTCTCCCTGGCAGCTGTCCACACGTTTGTGTTCATGGAGGTTTCCAGCACAGAGCATCCTTCCTGTAAATCGACCCTTGTAACGGTCTTCACAAAACCTCTTGGGAAGTAAGGGGATGGCTGCTTGTTGTAGAGTTCTTGAGTAGGCTCGTCCTATGCAGGCCAAATAATTGAATTAGATTCCAGGTAAAGATGGTAGCGAAAAGAGCTACATTTAACAGTTTAATGAACATTTAATAGCCCTATTAAAATAAAAAGCCCTATTGTGGCATTAGTGTAGTTTAAGTGAGTGATAACCATAAATGGTATTTTTTTTATTGTTTGCACTTAACCATACTGTAACCCTTCACTATTCTGTTTCTCAGTACTGCATTTTTTGAAGAATACTTTATTAACACTTACGGACTTGCCCAGTAGAAAAAGGTAACCTACAGAAAGCACATTTGTGCAGGCTTTAGAATTTGAATTTTGTATATTAAAACACTGAGGGTGCATTCATGCTGGCTCTGTATTAGCAAATCCACTGCTCTAGGACTCATCTACTTCACTGACTTGAGGATTAATTATAAATAATTCTATATAAGCACATAAGGTGGCAATTACTATCCTCAAGAGAAACATGGTATTTCATAAAGATGATTCAGAAACAACATGCTTACATAGAAACAGGCTGAAGTTTAGCCACTTGTTAACATATTCTATTTACTAGTAAGCCACTCATTCTCTATTTAGTGGCTAAAATGTATAATTGATAGGTTCTCCATGATAGCCTTTTCTTGGATCTAAACTCCACATTATTCTCCAATCCTATTTACTCAACTGGAGTGATTCATTCATAATAAAACATTCTGTAAAATTTACTTTCTTTGTCATCTCTATTCAGATGTAATGTCTAAAGGGAGGTGATTGATTCACTTTCCTGATGAAGTAATAATTTCAACAGCTGTACTCCAGACTTCAGTTTGCCTCACAGATCAGCATAGCGTCGTGAGAAGGCATTTACTCTGACCTGATTCTATTATATCATCCAGGAAATGTTTCCACTTTTTAAGGTTTATTTCAGGATTGGTCGCAGAGCTTTTTCAGTATTGTATATCTGCTACAGATGTTCTGCATTTTGCTGCTATGAAATAATGTAAGTTTAAAGCCCAGATTTAATGTAGCATGGGATAAAATGAAAACAAATACTTATATTTACTAAATATAACCTTATTGAAATTATCACCTGTAGAAATACTTATTTGATGTTCTTTTCAGTGTTAATTACTTTTAATGGAGAGCAGTCAACCCAATCATTTCTCCTTAGTAGTCATTTGTGAGTCGAGCACCTAATCCAGGTGAGACCTAGATGTTTCGAAGACCATGCTGAGCAAGCACTAGCTGATGTTAACTCTAGCAAGACAATACAGAAAGCTGTTTGCCTGAGAAGAGCACAAGCTGAACACTATCCTGCTTGGGCATGGGGAGGTGGGAAGAATGAGAAGGGGGGTGTGGAAGGAGAAACCCAAGTGAGCTGGATCCTTCCACTTGAACCTCAGCAGCTCTGATTTTTGTCTGTTCTTCATTTAGGAATTCTGCATAAGATTTACTTTGATAAAGGGCTCCATTACAAGGAAACCATCAAACACCAAAGCCCTTTGCTGGGGTAGCTACATCGAAGTCATTAGGAAAACTTTTTAAAATAGAGACAGCTAGGTCCAAGTCCTGAGTAGGGTCTAAGTTCTAATGGGAACCACAGTACCCGCAGGGTATGAATCCAGATTACATGCATGCATCTCACACCTGGCAGAATTTCCAAACAACTAAGCCTGAACCCCCTTTAAGATTTTGCTACCCACTGTACACCCAAATGTATGGATAATCCCAGACACAAGCAGGTGCCCAGATTTTAATTGTTTCTTTGGGTTGTTACCTGTGTCTCCCCATCCTGTTATGTAACAATTGGAGGCTGTTTTCTGTGGCCTCTCTCTCCGGAGTGGCAAACAGGCTGGCAAAACGTGGCTGCTGAATCTGGCACATTGTTCTGGTCCTTGTAATCTAACCAGGGCGATGTCGTAGTCACTGCTGTCTGGTCGATACTCCTGGTGAATCACAATCTGCTGAACTCCAATTTCTTCTTCAAACTCCTCCGGCACCAGAGTATGATAATCCCCAACCCGAACAGCATAGTTCCTAGTGTTGTTACCATACCTGGGGGGCAGAGAGAGCTAATGGGAGGCTTGTTTCAAATGTTGTAAATTGGTAACTGTCAGCCAGGAAGGTTAATAGAGATGCTTGTAAGCCCTTTCTTCCAAATCATTAATTCCTTTTATAAGTTTAACCTTCCTTTTCTCTGATCCCACTGCTCTTGGGCTCACACTCTAAACCCACTGTCATCACTTGTTTTCTTCATTCATTTCACTATTTAACCCAGGTTGCCATCTAACTCTGTTTTCTGAGAAGGAGCAAATGTGGAAAATAAGGGCTAATCACTAACCTGTCATTTCCCCACCATGAAAAAGGATCAAAACAGGAGCAAAGAGTATAGGGCAAAATTACCATCCTGTGTTTGCTGTCATCATTTTTCTATCATTTCCAAGATTGTTAGTTCATCATGAAATTCCATGAGGGCAGAAACTATGTCTGATTTAACTGTGTCCCCCAAAGCACTTAGCACAATCCACTTTACTCCCCTTTTCTGTGAACTGAATGCAAACCAAAACTATCTTCAGGGCAACATACATTCGTTATATGCTCTCATCTCTTAACTCTTTGTTCAGACATCACCTCAGTAAGACCTACCTTGACATCTAAAGTTGCAACCCACCCTTGCTTGTGCTCCCATCCCCCAGCACTCCCAATATCCTTAATCTGCTTTACTTTTCCTTTTTTATTAAACACTACTTTCTAACAAATTATCTAATTTACTGTTTATTGTATTTATTGTTCTCTGCCTCCCCCCCCCCACCTTGAACAAAAGGTACTCAAGGGCAGGGATCTTTGTGTTCACTGATGAATCTTACACATTGAGAATAGTGATGCCAGTTAAGTAGGAATGCAGCATGTTTGTTGATTTAGTGAATGAATGAATGTTTATTTTTAATGAATGTGTCTTTTTTCCATAGGAACCATTCAATTAAAATAGGAATACAATATTTACTTGATTGACAGTTCTCAGCCTGTTTTTCAGCCAGCATACCTTGATTTTGATACATCTGCCTAAAGCAGTTTCTCAACCTCAGCACTACTGACATTTGGGACCAGATTATCATTTGTTGCAAGGGGCTGTGCTGTGCATTGTAGGATGTTTAGAAGCATCCCTGGCCTCTATTCACTAGATGCCAGTAGCATGCACACTCACATACACACACCCCAGTTTGACAGCCAAAAATGTCTCCAGATATTTCCAAATATTCCCTAGGGTGCAAATTGTCCCCACTTGAGAACCGCCAACCTAAAATACATCATCCAACCCACCTCCCGATCACTTCCTCTTTCTCACTGAAGAGTATAGTACCTTGCTCGCTTCCCCTCTATAGCTACTTAAAACATTCTCAATGACTTAATTCCCAACACATTTCCCTTTTAGTTCCCTCACCTGCAGAGAGTGTTTTTTCTACTTGATCTCAGCCCCCCACCTACAGCTCATACTTACCAAATATTACACATTTTTGAAGTCTTGGTTTCAAGCATCTCATCTTGACAGTTTTACAGCTCTACTCATACATAAGTACCTCCTATCTTTACAGTTTCACAGCTCCATCCACAGCTCTTCACCCCCACTGGACTTCGATCCGTCGGCCCCACTAGTTTTTTTGTTTGTTTTTTTTTCTTTTTTCTTTTGTGTGTGTGTGTGTGGTACACAGGCCTCTCTCCCATTGCGGAGCACAGGCTCCAGACGCGCAGGCCCAGCGGCCATGGCCCACGGGCCCAGCCGCTCCGCGGCACGTGGGATCCTCCCGGACCGGGGCACGAACCTGCGTCCCCCGCATCGGCAGGCGGACCCCCAACCACTGCGCCACCTGGGAAGCCCCCCACTAGTTTTTTCATGTCATTCTCTGCTTATGACTTCTTACAAGGCTTGGATTCCACCATCACTCTTTTGCAAAAACTCTCAATCCTTCTTTCCCTGATCTGCCAAAACTCCAACTCTGGTTTCATCAACTCACCACCTACTTACCGCTAGCATCTGACTGTTCAAAGGGAAAAACAAACATTTAACAGTTCTCACCTTAATTTTTTTTTTTAATCTAAACTTCAATATCATCCACTGGAAATGGGGCCTGTACTTGAATGTGAATTTAGAGAAGTGGTATTCAAAAACTGGAAGTTTCTAGTGACTGCCTGTTTGAAATAACCTTTCATTTATTCCTATAAAATTTCTGGAAGTTATAAGTTGCTCAAAGATTCTTATAGCCCTAAGTAGGGCTCTGATAACATTGCAATATATAAAGTGATTTTCTTAACTGTGTCAGCTTAAAAAACTGAACAATGCAACAAAGATGATTTAGCTTATACAACCACCTACCAGTGATCTATGAAACTAATAATTTCCTGTGGTTCCTTGAAATTCTCCATTTTCAACCTTAAATTATCACATATCTTTAAAGTTCAGAAGGCTTTTCATATATTGTACCTAGAGACTATCTTCTTATGGGTTCCACTTCAAACTTTAGGATTATCCTGAAACTCTAAAAAGTAACAGTCATGAAGAATAACCAGGTATTTAAGTAACTCTCACTTCTACTTTCTGTGTATTGATACTAATGTATTATAAAAATTCAATATGACTCATTAATATATTCAGGTTTTAAAGCAAAATCCCAAGTGATTTATGTTTCTAACAAGAATAACTGTCAATGCATCCTTGAAAGTGCTGCTGAAATGTTTCATATATCTTTGGAATGGAATTTAAGAAATTATCTCAAGCTTCACTGTCCAGTACTGTAGCCACATGTGGCTAGTGAAGCGCTTGAAATGCAGTTGGTCCATGCAGGCGTGCTAAAAGTACAAAAATATGCACAAGATTTCAAATATTTACTATGAAAAAAATATAAAATATATTGTTTCTCTAGATAATAAGATTATCAAATATCTCAATTTTATATCCTATTTTGCAATGATATTTTGGATATACTGAGTTAAATATATCATATAATTATATATATATATATATATCTCATATGGGTGAAGTTAATTTCACCCATTTGGTTTTTTAATCTTTTAATGTGGCTACTAGAAACTTTAAACTTATATACATGATTTGTATTTGTGGCTCACTTTATATATCTAGTAGATAACACTGATCTAGAGAAATACTGTGGCATAAAGTAGGCATCCTATTTTTAAATTTTTCTTTAATGCAGTTTCTTGTGTTGCTTATAACTTTTAGGCTTGAGTTATGAGACAGTCCCTTCATATGTCAACTTTTTATATTTAAGATAATTACATTACTGTTCAACCAAAAAAAATAAGTTTTATTGCAACAATATTTTCCATTCTTTGAAAAAGAGTTGTGACACAGCTAAAATAATCCTTGCATCTAAACTGGCTATATAAATATATCCTACATTATCTAAAAATTGAGTCTTAGCCAGTGAACAAAGAAACAGGTCATTACTAGAGCAAGGAAATTTATTTTTTAAATATCCCAGTTTTAAAGTCTTGGGAAATCGTGCCTCAGTGCGTCACTTCATGCCTGGATTACTACAGTCTGCTAAATGGCCTTGCTGCTTCAAGTTTCAACTTTTTCAAGCCATCCTTCACATTGCAGCCAGAGCAATGTTTCTGTCTAATAATATAACTACTCTTCTGGATACCCTTCCAGACAGATGCCCTTCACTGTCTACATAGTAAAGTTCAAATTCCTTAAATGATATACAAACCCATCCAAGAATGGCCCTTGTCCACCTCTCTGATACCACCCTCGTCCTCGTGTCTGTGTCCCTGTCTTTCTGGCCACTTGAAGAGGTATCTGACAAACCTGTCTTTATTCAGACTATTTGCAATATCATTCCCTCCACCCCTCATCCTAATATGGCAAAAACTGATTTTATCTTTCAAGTCTCAAGATCTCCTAGGAAGCTCTTCCTGCCCTCCCTGAAAGCTAACCAATCCTTCTTTTGAACACTCCCAATAGCACTGTCAGAGAGTTTATAACAGCTTCTACAACTTGTTAAGATGTCAGGTCTCCCCAGTTAAAGGCTCCTTAAGTGTAAAGACCATGGCATGCTCACTTTTGTATCCTCAGCACCAAGCAAAGTGGTTTGCACAGAGAAAGCTCTTAATAAATATATGTTAAATGACTTCTTTTGGAAGACACGTTCTGTTCACATACATACACTCTGATCCCGAACTTACTGAAATGAGACCTCCTCTCACCAATTCCTATGTTATAACACCATCACAAAAATTACTTTTGAAAAAAAGTCTCCACAAAGATCTAATGTTCTCATTAATACTGGCTGTTCATCAGAATCACCTGTACCACTTTTAAGAATACAAATGTCTAGGGGCTTCCCTGGTGGCGCAGTGGTTGAGAGTCCGCCTGCCGATGCAGGGGACATGGGTTCGTGCCCCGGTCCGGGAGGATCCCACATGCTGCGGAGCGGCTGGGCCCGTGAGCCATGGCCGCTGAGCCTGCGCGTCCGGAGCCTGTGCTCTGCAACGAGAGAGGCCACAACAGTGAGAGGCCCGCGTACCGAAAAAAAAAAATGTCCAGGCCACACAAACTCTGAGAACATTAAGTTAATAGGGCTGATGTAGGACCATGGGTGATCCAAATTCACAGTCAGTCTGGAGAATTACTGAACCAAAGACTTAAAGGCACGGGCATAACACCCGCCTCTTTATGCCTGGAATTTCACTGGGTGAAGTAGGAGATGACACGGACTGCCATAACACAAACACGTACACGTTCCATACTTATACTGTGTTCTCAGATCAGGAAGATTTGAGCAGATATTTTTGAGTATACTCCCAAATTAATATGCTCACCAAGCAGGAGTTGATATTAACCTGAGAATAAAAATAAAATATTTACCTGACAAGAAGAAAAAATGCATCATTCTTGTTAAAATGAAGTTCATTATTAGAATCTATACTTTTAAAGTCGTCCTGATTTAAGAAATGGACCAGCTAAACCCAAGCAGTGATCCCACACTCCTTTTACTCCAGTTATTCTTAGAATAGATTTATGCTTGGAATTTGAA